CCCATATATATATATGTGTATATATTGAGGTTATTGTTATAGAAGGTAATAGACTTCTGTGTTTGGTACATTTGAAACTGAAGTCCTTTAACCAACTACTTACCGGGAAATTTTTGATCTTCCCTACGTTCTATCAGTATCAACAAGACACTTAGAATTACAGTAGCAATTTATACCATATAAAGGTCTAAACTTTTCACTGACCTCCTTGGGCAAGTAATAGGACCATACTCGTTCTGACCACCAACAGAGAAAATGTATTTGTCCAATTAAAAGCAGTGAACGAGCCCTACTCGGCCAGTTTTCCACCACTGAAAATCTCAATGAAGCCAATAAAGTGTCATTTACACGAGTGGAATATCTTAGGGTGTAATAGCAAATATTCAGTCCCCCCCACCCATGTAGCAGCTACTCAGAAGACCAAGCAAAGAGTCGGTTCTCTTGCTGACCAACCAGAAATCATACATGGAAGTAGGATAATGCCTTAAAATGGTTCAGTTTATGTTCTGAAAGTCATTTTAAGGATTTAGCAAATCACCCGTGGTTGTGACTCCAAACAACCGATTTCCCCCTCCAGAGAGCTGTTTTTTTCATACAAGTTTCAATACTTTTTGAGATTATAAACTGCAAGACAGCAGCCTCAGCAAGGAAGATGAATTACAAAGAAAGACTAGTGTAATTTGCCATCAATAACATAAGGTGTAAAAAAAGAACACAGTAAGAGCATTAAAACTTCAGGAGATCCATGGGCGAAATAGTTTGTAGGAAACAAATTTCTATAAACTGTTACTGCTAAAAAAGAACAGCCCTGGAAAAAGCTTCAAAGTCACCAGATATGAACCAACCCTGACAAGAAATGGCCAAGCAATCAGGCCTATATCCATTGATTGAAACACCGAGGCATAAGGAATATTACACATAAATGCAGAAAAAGCACCAGAAATTTGCAACATCATTGCGTATTACTGACCCACGTGGCACGTTTTGAGTTTCTTGTTTAAAAAATATCTGCCACGCAAAGACCAGACAGCAGTCAGTTCACTTGGACAGTACTCCACCAACAAAAAAATCCTTTCCAAAGAGCTGCCACAGAGCACTCCAGTAAGTAGATTAGCTATCGTTATGAGACTGTAGATATTTGAAAGATATTTCAGACAGTAGAAACCACAGTGGGAGAGGATAAAGCTTTATCCAACAGCCCAAACACCACCAATTTCTTTTAATCAAAGTGCTACATTTTCTGAACGAATTTTAGGAGTTTGGATGATATTCTTCCACCTGTGGTGAACCTGTTTCCAACCAATTCATAATTCAGATTCCTTTTCCTGATAAGGAGAGGCAGATTACAATTGGGTAAGCAGGCCCTACCCCCGCCACCCCCCCCCCCCAAAACAGTTACCACCCAGTGGGCCCAGGGGAGCACGCAGACCATGTACTGTGCAAAGCTGTGCCATCAGACACCCAGAACTGTACGTAGATACGCATCCCTTCAGTTTTCCCCCATCATCTCACTCAAGGTTCATTCACAAGCATTTTCTCTTATTTAATTTTAAAAAGTGGGTTTTCACAGGAGCGGTTTTTTTCTCATTTTGCCTAAATCCACCCTTTGCTTTGTTCCTTCTTGTCCCTTTCACTTCTCTCCAAGCTCAGGTTTTCCCCATATATCCTCCCCTAAGGAACAGAACTGTGGCCTTCCTTTCCTTCTCCTACTTTGTATCTTCATCCCTCACCCACTTGCCTCCATTGCCCAAATAACCCCAACTCAGAGCCCTGCACTCAGCAGGCATTACAGGTAGATATGACTTAGAGGAAGGCCATGCCTAGGAATCAGGCAATAGAAACACTATTATTCCATCTTTTTTACCCAAAAGTAACTCTCAGATGCTCTCCACTGAGAAGGACTTCTTCTGGAAGGACAAAGCTCTGTGCTTCATGTCCCCTACTGAGTGAGCAAGGGTTGTAGCTCTTTCTTCCCATTACCTTCTGGGAGCTTTGAACCAAAACTTCATAAAGTTTTACATGACTAATTCTGTGTGAAACAGGACACAGGCAGAAGTTGAATACATTAGGATCACCTGCAGGGACAATCAGGGAAAAGTGTTTCTCAGTGACCTCTCTTGTGACAGTAGGACAAAAAAGATGAGTTGCAGGTAAATACTAGGTCATCCCAGAGTGGCACAGTAGCCAAAAACTCTAAGGACCTTCCACCCTGAAACCTCACCAGCTCCAGGTATGAAGATACACCACATGAAGTCATCTTAAAACCACAACTCCACCATTTGACTAGGACCAGCACTTTCCTACTTGCCGGGAAATTCTCCTCTAATGTATACAGTCATCATTCTTTCTAGATAGGGTGTGGTGGCATAACTCTTGAAACGAAGAAAAGCTTAACAAATACCCTAAGCTTTGCACAGAAGCAATTCTAGGCTGTACAAGCAGAGGCCGTTTTCAGGTTCTCCTCAGTTTATAAGGAAGCAGCGATTTTAGCAATCTTGGAGCATAGATGAAGACAGGCTGAATGCTTTACGGCAAAATGGAAAGATATGCCTGAGTCAGGGCAGCTCCAAAATATTTCTGGTTTTTAGATTTACAAACTCCAGTTTGTCCTATCATCTCCTAGTCTTATTCAAGTATGGAAGACATCAAGAGCATATTAAAAGGATGCATTCTTATCAGAACTTCTAAAGATATATTCTACTTTGTATTAATAAAGCTTTTCATCTTTTTAAGTTTGAAAGCCTATTTACAGTGAAAGTGACTGATCCTCTGAAATGACATAACATTTGATCTTCCTATAGAAGCTGGTTGAAATCTGCTTCAGCACCTCAGTACTATTAGTCTGAACTATCCAGTCAGCCTATATCACAACACAACGGTATCTTTATCTCCTTTAAATTAAAAAAAAAAAAATAATAATAATCACTCATGCAAAAATAAAAGTCTTGATGTCTGCATGTATAGCATTTATTTCATATTAAGGGATTTCATTTTGCTGGCCACACAGCCAACATCAAGAACTCTCCCTTTTTAACTCCACAAAAACTTTGGAGACTTTCACTGCTCACTGCCCATAGCAAAAGCTTTTAAAGGTAAGGTTTCTCATGGCAAATTCACAACCAATATTACCTTTTCTCACCTCACATCTATTCTATCTCACTGAAGAGCAGGGTTGAGTTAAATTTCTTTCCACAGTAAGAGCGTTTCAAAGCCTATGCAATATCCTTATTTGAATTTTAAGTCAACACCAGTCTTCCCCAACATATTTCGGTCACTAATGTTTTTGCCAGTAAATAAATCAATCAGGAATGTTGAGAATACAGGTCTGCTTTTTTTGCCAAGGGGGAAAAAAAATTAAAAAGCAAGAATAAAATGATATTGAAGCAGAATACATTATAAATAGGAAGATAATACACAGTCCAAATGTTACATTGGAGTATTCTCAGTCCTGCCAAATGCATCTTTACTGAAATTGCTCAGTAGAAAGAAGGCAATGTATTGTGCAATTATTTAAAGTGTACCAAATACTTCTACAGTAGGTCTTGGTTTTGCAACTGTAACAGTGAAATATTATATGCATATTGCCATCTCATGGATACTACAAATACTTGTTTAGAATTCCAACAATGCAATCCCTATCAGAAAAATATGCAGAATCCACAGCAAATAAAATTGTGGTAAGATTTACAACATGAAAGCAGGAACTTTACATTTGAAACAGTCCAAAAATCTGCCTCAGATTCTCTCGTAGTAGTTACTATTTTTATGACTTGGCTCAGACTTGCTTTAATCTCTTTATTTAGGGAGAAATTGCAAGCTTGCCAACTGTAGTAAATGTTAAGTACTTTAGTAAATTCCCCATCAATATAGGTCGTGCATTCGAGGGAAGAAGAACGTGGTGATAGGTTCTGCTCCATCTCCTCCAAAGGGGATTTCGGAATAAGATGGTGATGGGAGAGGCTGATAAACAGCGTGGCTAAGGCTCTCCTTCAGCTCCATCCTACTCTCCAGACTTCTGTCCACACTGTGTTGTGCCGGGATTGAGATGCTACTTGATGCAGCTCACCCCGCCTGCCGTTATCCTGCACCCCTCTTGCCTGAACCGGCAGGAGAGCACATGTATTGCCGATACTATCACGTCATAACTCTTCCATTAAAGTTCAGTGATAGTAGTGAAGTGGGTCCAAACAAGTCAGCAAAAACCATAGGAAACCCAAGAGGTGTACAGATATCAAAGTACAGCATGCGTATACAGAAAGAGTTTTAATAGCCTAAGCAGACTTTCCAGAGTATCTAGACAAATTGCCTAAACCCATCAATTCCTTTCAAGCCCAGAGTTTGGCTTGTAAAAAAACTTGGCAACCAACAAGCAAAAGCGTATATTGTTTCTGAAGCTATCCTCGAGCGAATGAGTCTCCCTGCCCAACCCGCTCAGACCTCAAGTAAACAAGTTTCGGGTCCTTTCTGCACTGGACCGAGCAGGACCCCCAGCTGTCCCCAGCACCGGGGGCGAGGATGAGAGGCACCCGGTGACACCCCCCCACACACACACACCCCCCCGAAGTCCCCCCCGCCGAGGGATGCCCACCCGCCGCCGCCTCTCCGGGCAGCGGAGCCCCAGCCCCGCAGCTCCCCACGGAGAAGGGGCTCCGGGCTTGCCCTTCGCACCCCCCCCCCCCCCCCGGGCAGCCCCCGCGGCGGCCGCTCGGCAAGGACAGGCGGGTGCCCGCCCCACCGCTGCGCAGGCTGCCCGGGGGAGCCGGGGACAGCCCCCCCCCCCCCCCCCCCGGCGAGGCGGGACCGAGGGCACCGCATCCCCGCGGCGGCCAAGGCACCACCGACCGTGCAAAAAAAAAAAAAAAAAAAAAAAAAAAAAAAATTAAAAAAAATAACGGCCAGCACCCCGCATGGCTGGCAGCGCACACGCAGCCGCTTCCAGTTAGCCGGAGACGCCGCCGTGAAGAGGAGGGAAGGGGGGAGGCAAGAGGAGAAGCCATTACCAGAGTTTTGTCCCCGTTCTTGCTGAGAGGGCCTCGGAAAACTCCCTTGATGTTGCGAAAGTGCCCGTTGCTGAGGTGCGCGGAGCTGATGACAATGTAGTAGCACTCCATGGGGCCGGGGCCGCCTCCCCGCCGGCGGCGGGGCGCTGAGGCCGGCCGGGGCTGGGCGGGGAGGGAGGGCCGGGGCCGGCGGGGCCCCGCGGCATGTGCGGTGCCGGCGGCCGGAGGGGCGGGGAGCGGGGGTGTTTTGGGGGGGCGGGGGTGGGGGGTGCAGCCCCTCAGGCTCGTCGCGGCGCTGGCTGCCGGGGGAGGAGCGGCGGCACGGCCGCGGCGGAGCCGTCTGAGCTGCCGCCTCTGGCGGGCATAGTGTTATTATAGCGAGCAGCCTTGCCGGTCGGCTGCACTGAGCCAATGGCAGGGAGCCACTGGGCTGATACCGAGAGCTGTCAGAGGAGGACATCTGTCACACGCCGCCTTCACCGCCACCCACAGCCCCCCCCTCAACCCCCCCCCCCCCCACACACACACACACACACACACGCCCCGCTGCCCCCGCCGCGGACGGGCCGACACCCCCCGCCAGGTAAAGGGAGACGAGACGGGGGGGGGGGGGGCTGGCAGACCCATCACCCCAACCGCAGCGAGCGCCGGAGCCCCGCGACTGGTGTGTGTCCCCCCCACCCCCGGGAGGGGCTCCCTTTTCCTATTTGGGGGGGGCGCATCACTGCGGGCGCACCAGTGTGGTCCTCCAGGATTGGGGGAGGGGGGGGGGGGCGAGCAGGGCAAGAGGGCCGGGGGTGCGCCCAAGCTCCTGCCCCTCCCCTCCTCCGCACCCTTTTCTTTTTTATTAGAGCGATCTCTATTTTTAACGACAGACACCCCAGCCGGCCGGCCGCGTTAGCCGGCGCTCAGCGGGCACGATCGGCTCCCCGCCGCTTTTTGCGGCTCTGCTGACCCGTGCCGGCGTGGCGGGGGGGCAACGGGTCATTTCTGACCCCCGGGGAGGGCAGGCTCCGTCCCGGCCGGCCCTGGGCTGCCGCCGCCCATCCCCGCCGCCTCCCGCCCGCCAGCCTCGAAAACCAGGGGCGCGCTGGCAAAACTTCGGGGTGACAGAGGTGGCCCCCCCCACCCCCGAGCAGGGCGAGGGTTGGATGCAGGCGCTGCCGCTGCATCCTCGCCCTCAGCCCGAACCCCCCCCTACAACGCTCTCGCTCCGTTTCAGCAAACCCGGGATTAAAAACCGCTGGGTACATCAGCACAAGGTAACTATCGCATGCACCCTCCTCCTCCACCATCAGAAGCGTTTCTTTTTGCAGCACGCTAATGAGAACTTGCTGCTAGAACCAGAATTTGTCACAGTGTAAGACATGGGTTTAATAAAGATGCTCAAGTCCTCACACTCCACACACACACACACCCCCAAGAAGAAAAAAAAAAAAAAAAAATCTACAATTTGCAGCCTTATCACGTAAGACTTCAAGCTGGCTCATCTTCCAGCCCACTTTACCTTTATTCTGGATTGAAAAAGTCATGATTTATGGGGTTACACTCCAGCGCCAGAAGAGGGAACACATTAGAAAATAAGCCCAGAACCATCAGTGTAGCAGTGTCTCTTAGTCAGCATTTACTGCTGGCAACATAATGCCACCGTCCTATCATCTTGTCCTCCAAAATAAAGGAACTGCTTCCAGGAAACTGGGGATGCACACACGCACTTTTCTGGCAGAAATTCCTGTCTTTGGGGTTTGTGTCCTTCATGAAGGAAGCACCAGTTTATGAGCAATACCCTCCTCCGATAAACATTTTCTATCGTTACCTCCCTTCGTACAACATGAATTTTGACAGCTGTCACTCATCCCTCAGCATTTTCAGTACCTCGGAAGGAATCACGGAAATGGAAAAAGTGGAAAGTTTTGACAGCTGAGACACAGATGAGAGATCAGAATTTGCTGCTTTTCGTCACAGCCAAAAAAGAGAGTAAAAGCGTACAGATAATAACACTATTTTTCTGCTTATGAGGATGTAAATGTACATCCAGAAATAACCAGCAACTTTATTACCGTGTAAAAATGAAGTCGATATTATAAATACCCACTAGATTTAACAACACAGCACATTTCAGGCCTGGTTCCCATTTCAGACAGGATCACGGGTGTGGTTCTCTTTCAAAAATGTCAGTAGTAGTAGATCAGAAAATGTCACAAGTAGTCAGAATGTAGAATAGAGTAATGAAAAGACATGAAATCATGAAAGACCTTTCTGCGATTAAATATACTCCAGCTTGGACTAGAACAACAATTTTTCCCACCTTCTAAATACAAAGTTACTGATACACATCAGGACCCTTCGGCCTGGGAGTGAAACTCTTCACAGTCGGTCTACCCCACGCACCCACCATTTCAAAGAACTGGAACATTTTTCTCTGAAATGCCCACACTGACCCTTTCATTACACATCGCTGACACCTTTAATTACAGCTGCTACAACCACCTCTGGGCCCTTTCAGGGTTGTACGGCTGCTCCCACCTTTCAGCGGCATGCAGGTACTGCTTGCACGCTCTTGTTAGAGTCCAGGGACTTGGGCAATGTCTTATTGTAGCAACAGAGAAATAATCTACTCCCGTAGCTCAAGTCTGAAAGGATCAACCTGCTTTGTAACAACTGAGAGTGCCCAAAACACCTTTAAAAGCTGTAAAAGCTTCTGCTAATGCAGACTGTTGGCCTCCTCTATTAAATGAGGTTAAAAAAAAAAAAAACAAACAAACACCAAACAACAACAACAAAAAAAAAACTAAAGACCACTTGATTTCTCCAAAGACCTCTATAAAGAAATGACAAGTTGTACTAAATAGAACCAAGTAAGAAAAATACACATTTTCTACTCCTACTTCCTACTTATTCTGCTTGGCTTGCTTTTTTTTTTTTATTTTGGCTGCTCTTGTGATACTTTGCTATCTCCAGTTTTCCCTGTGTGTCCTCCTTAAATCCTTCACTGTACTTTTCCTGCCTCATTCTGTTTCTCTACTGTGATCATCCTGGCTCAAGATGCTGCATCCTTCCCAAATATTTTTTTTTATCTTAATAAATTGCTAATTTCATCAATCCCTAATCCCATGGCTCCTACATACCATCAGTCCTACCTATTTCTGTCTCTGCCCTGTTCACTGGGGCAGGTATCTGGGGTTTGAGCTGTGTATAATGCTATTTATTCACATCTGAGCCATATAACAACAACCAGTGCTGCTGATTTACTCATTATCTTATTCTCCCTGATACTTCCCGTTTGGAAAGATCTTCAAGGAGTCATTCCTGTATAAAACTCCAAATACAGACTCAAGAAACAGCCTATGGATTTGAGAGACTTTCTGGACAACTTGTGAACTAGAAGCCAGTGAACAAATGACACCAATTCACATACATGGTAGCCGTTTCCTGCCTGTGACGACACTCAGTAGTCTGCATTTTAATGTTGAACAATATTAATCATTCAAGAAATAGTCCTGGCATAATCCAGAAAAAAATATTCAGCAGAACAAACAATTCCCTTTTGGTTAGCAGTCTTTAAAGCACAGCCCAGAGAAAGTGTTACCAAGTAAATATATCTTGAGAAATCATTCACTCACCACCGAAACACATCCATCAAGCACAGAAAGAAATATCTATGCTGTAAGTCACAAGAAACTCAATTCAGCTCCCATAGCAATTCTTATTGAATTCAATAAAATTCAGTTTATCCTAAGAATATCTCCCTGTAAGTAATCTGCTGTCTGAGACACACCTTTTTACCGTCTCCTGCACTTTCAGTCTCCTTTTACTGCGTATTTTTTTTTTTCTCCATTTCTTTTCACTTAGCCTTGGATGTTTTTCCCTGTTTCAGGTGTCTGTCATCCCTGTGTTAAGCTGAAGGAAAAATGGGAGTATCCTGTGTACCTTCTAAAGGTCATCATGGTGTAATAAACATTATAGACTTTATTACAACTGCATTCATTCATCAGTTACGGGGGTGGTAAAGCTAGAAAGAAGGAAACTGGGACACTCTGGTAGCCTAGTTCCTCAGCACATCTTTCACCGTATGTGAAGAGTATCAGAGTGGGTTCCCTATCTCAACACATGAGCTAAGTGGAGCACTGGCATCACAAAAGCTAAGGAAAGGCAACAGTGACTTAAAGCCCTGTAGCAGGCAGTCAAATCGTGGGCGGTACCCTGCAGCCCTCAGAAGTCACAGGAAGAAGACTGTGAAGGCTTACATAAATATTTCTGCTCGATCCCCAAAGTAGCAACAGATTTATTAAAACACACTGGGGTTTGGTTTTTTTCTTTGCTCCTTCAGCCCTCCAAAGCACGTAGTTTTATAGCACAGCTCTTTCACAACAGCTCCAGGAAGAAGCAGTCTGGCAAGAATTACCCCCTCGCTCTTTTCACATATCCATCTAGCATCTACATCTAACCCTGAACAAATTCATGTGGGTAAGATATGCAAACGCTTTTCCACCCCTTCTCTTCAAATTAGCAATATCACCACTGTCTCCTTTAGGATACTACTGGGAAAAAAAAACTTTCTGTTGTTACTGAATAAAAGACACTGTTCTCTGTATCTTCCCTTTTAAATGTTTATGCGGTAGAATTTCCCCAACTCATGCAGAATCCTTCATTTTTTTTCTTCCCAGATCCCTCCCTAACAAAACAAATTAAAAAAATTGCAAATGACACTCTGAACATGAGGTGACATCAACAAGTAACAATTAACAAGTGCATTAAATAGCAGGAGACTTTTACAAGTGATGGAAAACACCCGATGGTCCAGCCAAGGTAAAAAGAACCCCCTGCAAAAGCAACTGTTACCCACTTCAAACACTGAAAATGCAATTCACTCTTAAATGCTAAACGCCGTCTTACAAGCAAATCCTCCATCACGCACATTTGGAAGAGTTGCTCTACATGAAAAACAAGTGGAACCAGTGACTGGTAAATGAGTCCTGAGAACAATCTGTGCTGGAATTAAGAGTTTTCCAACATCCACTCAACCCAAACATCCAACTCAAAACCAAACAGAACACATGAAATCAAATTATGAAAAATTGTATGACAACAATTGAGTTATACAATCTCACTAGAGGCAATGCCTCCATTTTTCACAACTCACTGCTATATAAAATCCCCTTCAGCTTCACTTCTGTAACAATCTAGCACA